CATTGGACTGTCATTGGACAAGATGGCAGCCAATGAGACACAGCCACTGGCTGAGCCAGCAATTGCCTGAAAAATGTCACTGTACATCTACCAAGCCACTGTTCAGAAAGAAATTTTATACACAAATGTAAAAATGGACGGAGAATTCAATTATAACTAGCATTGCCAGTAACAGTTAAAGCCTAAAGCCAAACCTAAATACTTATCGCTATTTTCAATCAAACTGATGTAACAGAAAAACAGAGGACGTCTGGCTGTCGTAGACATGCACTGTTAATCGGGTTCCTTCCCGCTGTTTTCAGCTATTTAGAGTGGGTGAAAATCATACCAATCGCAAAATTTCATGAGAGATTAGGACCCATCCCGAAACCCCAGCCAACATTTCCGAAGCAAGTTTTGAACGGTTTCCGTGGTAACGGATATTGCTAAAAGATCGCAAATTTCCGGACACCGTAGTCGCTACAGTTTTGCGGCCTGAAATATCCGTTCGGGGCGCAGTCCAATTAAAAATACGGACTTGTTGGAGTTCCCGCCGAGGAACAAATTGCGGCAAAACTAGGAGTACCTTACAATGTCACGAGACGCAACATTGCAGATGATAGTAGCAGATGATAACAGCAACCGGTGACAATGTCGAGCGTTTTCTGCAGACGATACTACTAGCAGGCGATAAATTCGACCGTTGACAATTTCGAGACATTACAGACAATGAAAGCGATATGGCGGGTGGACCACGCGCTCCCACTCAGATCAGCAATACTGTTCTTCCGACTGAGGATTTAGCAGCGCTAGATGTCAGACTTGTCGGCATGCGCAAAACGCGATTAAACTCACGGCCGAGCGTGGATTGGGGCTAAACTAGATGGCTGGGACTCACGAGCTAATATATGGAGGAAGTTGCAGGAGATGCAGTAGCTGCTGCTTGTGAGTCCCAGCCGTCTAGTTTAGTCCCCAATCCGCGCCTCACGATGCGTGTGTATTGTTGCGTTTCTCAAGAGTGTCAACTGACAGTAATCCTAGTTTTGCCGTGATGTGATCATCTTAGGAAGTCCTCATTTTACATATCAGTTGTCTCCACCTCTGTCATTGGGTCACCAGCTGCTTGTCTGATCAGTTCCCTCTACCTCCTTCATTGGGTCACCAGTTGCTTGATCACTTCCCTCCCCCTCTGTCATTGGGTCACCAGCTGCTTGTCTGATCAGTTCCCTCTACCTCTTTCATTGGGTCACCAGTTGCTTGAACAGTTCCCTCCCCCTCTGTCATTGGGTCACCAGTTGCTTGATCAGTTCCCTCCCCCTCTTTCATTGGGTCACCTGTTGCTTGTCTGATCAGTTCACTCTACCTCTGTCATTGGGTCACCAGTTGCTTTTCTGATCAGTTCCCTCTACCTCTGTCATTGGGTCACCAGCTGCTTGTCTGATCAGTTCCCTCTACTTCTGTCATTAGGTCACCAACTGCTTGTCTGATCAGTTCCCTAAACCTCTGTCACTGAGTCACCAACTGCTTGTCTGATCAGTTCCCTCTACCTCTGTCATTGGTCCCCAGTTGCTTGTCTGATCAGTTCCCTCCCCTTCTGTCATTGGATCCCTAGCTGCTAGTCTGATCAGTTCCCTCCCCTTCTGTCATTTTGTCCCCAGCTGCTAGTCTGATCAGTTCCCTCCAGCTCTGTCATTGGGTCCCCAGCTGATAGTCTGATCAGTTCCCTAAACCTCTGTCACTGAGTCACCAACTGCTTGTCTGATCAGTTCCCTCTACCTTTGTCATTGGGTCCCCAGTTGCTTGTCTGATCAGTTCCCTCCCCTTCTGTCATTGGGTCCCCAGTTGCTTGTCTGATCTGTTCCCTCCCCCTCTGTCATTGGGTCCCCAGTTGCTTGTCTGATCAGTTCCCTCCCCTTCTCTCATTGGGTCCCCAGCTGCTAGTCTGATCAGTTCCCTCCCCTTCTGTCATTGGGTCCCCAGCTGCTAGTCTGATCAGTTCTCTCCCCTTCTGTCATTGGGTTCCCAGTTGCTTGTCTGATCAGTTCCCTCCCCCTCTGTCATTGGGTCCCCAGCTGCTAGTCTGATCAGTTCCCTCCCCCTCTGTCATTGGGTCATCAACTGCTAGTCTGATCAGTTCCCTCCCCCTCTGTCATTGGGTCACCAACTGCTTGTCTGATCAGTTCCCTTTACCTCTGTCATTGGGTCCCCAGCTGCTAGTCTGATCAGTTCCCTCCCCCTCTGTCATTGGGTCACCAACTGCTAGTCTGATCAGTTTCCTCCCCCTCTGTCATTGGGTCACCAACTGCTTGTCTGATCAGTTCCCTCTACCTCTGTCATTGTCCCCAGCTGCTTGTCTGATCAGTTCCCTCTACCTCTGTCATTGTCCCCAGCTGCCTGTCTGATCAGTTCCCTCGACCTCTGTCATTGTCCCCAGCTGCTTAGATGATCAGACTTTTTGGCATGCTCACCTCTGTCATTGTAAACTCACCGCGAGCGTGGATCAGTTCCCTCCCCTAGATGGCTGGGACTCATTGGCTAATCAACTGGAGGAATTTGCAGGAGATGCAGTAGCTGCTGCTCGTGAGTCCCAGCCATCTAGTTTAGTCCCCATTCCGCGCCTCACGGAGCGTGTGTATTGTTGCGTTTCTCAAGAGTGTCAATGGAAAGTAATCCTAGTTTTGCCATGATGTGATCATCGGAGGAAGTCCGCATTTTGCATATCAGTTGTCTCCACCTCTGTCATTGGGTCACCAGCTGCTTGTCTGATCAGTTCCCTCTACCTCTGTCATTGGGTCACCAGCTGCTTGTCTGATCAGTTCCCTCTACCTCTGTCATTGGGTCACCAGCTGCTTGTCTGATCAGTTCCCTCCACCTCTGTCATTGGGTCCCCAGTTGCTTGTCTGATCAGTTCCCTCCACCTGTCATTGGGTCACCAACTGCTTGTCTGATCAGTTTCCTCCACCTCTGTCACTGAGTCACCAACTGCTTGTCTGATCAGTTCCCTCTACCTCTGTCATTGGGTCCCCAGTTGCTTGTCTGATCAGTTCCCTCCCCCTCTGTCATTGGGTCCCCAGCTGCTAGTCTGATCAGTTCCTTCCCCTTCTGTGATTGGGTCCCCAGCTGCTAGTCTGATCAGTTCCCTCCCCTTCTGTCATTGGGTCCCCAGCTGCTAGTCTGATCAGTTCCCTCCACCTCTGTCACTGAGTCACCAACTGCTTGTCTGATCAGTTACCAGTACCTCTGTCATTGGGTTCCCAGCTGCTAGTCTGATCAGTTCCCTCCCCTTCTGTCATTGGGTCCCCAGCTGCTAGTCTGATCAGTTCCCTCCACCTCTGTCACTGAGTCACCAACTGCTTGTCTGATCAGTTCCCACTACCTCTGTCATTGGGTCCCCAGCTGCTAGTCTGATCAGTTCCCTCCCCTTCTGCCATTGGGTCCCCAGCTGCTAGTCTGATCAGTTCCCTCCCCCTCTGTCATTGGGCCCTTAGCTGCTTGTCTGATCAGTTCCCACTACCTCTGTCATTGGGTCCCCAGCTGCTAATCTGATCAGTTCCCTCCCTTCTGTCATTGGGTCCCCAGCTGCTTGTCTGATCAGTTCCCTCCCCCTCTGTCATTGGGTAACCAACTGCTAGTCTGATCAGTTCCCTCTACCTCTGTCATTGTCCCCAGCTGCTTGTCTGATCAGTTCCCTCTAACTCTGTCATTGTCCCCAGTTGCTTGTCTGATCAGTTCCCTCCCCCTCTGTCAAGTGGGTAAGAATGTAAAGCCATTGGAGCAGGTACATTCACACACATTCTATATGCATATCTTGGTCTGCCATTCCCATCTACAGAGCCCTGCAATGTTATTTTGGAAAGGCCAGTAGATCTTGTTAGTTGTTACACATCCTTGCCATTGCATTCTCCATCTTTTGATGTTTCTTAAAAGAGGTTCATAGTTGATAGCACATTGAAACCTGCATATCAGTTCTGTACTGCAGCAAAATGACTGAATCTGCATCTTCTTCTCCTTTTTCTTTGCATTCACCAGCTGTAAACTCTGGTGGAAAGTTCTGGTTGTTCGTCCACTTCTAGACTGCAGCCTTATTCCAGAACCTGAGTGTTGTGTGTGCATTATTTGACAGATCTGACACATGTGTGTGCAGACTGTTTGTTTCTTGCCTCTCAGGCAGATGCACTCTGACTTCAAAAGAAGCTCCCCATTAGTCAATTCTGCTTTTGGGTAGGCAGTGGGTCTATTCTTGTTTTCCCTATAATAGGACCCCTGAACCCACATGGGGGTGAATCTGCATTAAGAAACAAGAGATCAAAATGGTTTTGACATGTGTCAGTAAGGAGTCAAGACTGTCACTTGATAATGCAGCACAGAGAGCCATGTCACTTACAGTGAAAGTAGAGCTAGCGATGAAACACCAGCATCTGTGTAGCACACACCAAGGCTGGCATTAGGTGCCTTTTCTAAACCTGATACTGCACAGGCTGCAGAGCAGGGATGAGCAACTGGTTTTGGTTGGCGAGCCAAATTTATAATTACCAACCATTGTGGTGAGCCTTAGAGAAAAAAAATCTGGTAAAAACGTAGCACCCAGATTTCCTTGTAACACAATATTTGTGTGGGATAATCTAAGATTGTAATTCCTTGCTGCCCCTCTTGCCAGACACTCACCTACTGAAGCCTTTCTGTGTTCCTAAATGTGTATATAAATATAAATGTGTATTGGTATAACATATTTACTGTTCATGTCCGCTGCCACAATCCCGTCCTCAGACAGACGGATCTCAAGAAGAGTTACCACTCTTTTGATCAATTAAACTTGCCGGCCCGGGGGGGAAAAGTATTGTAAATGGAATTTCTGGTTGTTCACCCACTTTTGGACTGTGGTCTTGTTCCACAACTTTTGCATGCTCATTCATTTTACCAGTCTGGTCTTGTTTGAATTGAAGTAATGTGTGGAAGTCATACACAGCTGTATACAGTAATCAAGTAGATGCTGATGCCATTAGTATTATTTTCTGTTTCAGGTAAGGATGGATACATATTTTCGTCAACGGCTGCAGAGACGTTTCTATTATGGAGACATGTCTAACTTGGATGTGCCCTCACTTCCATTGACTGGTTAGTTGCTGGTATTTAGTTGTGTAAAGTCAGATCTGGTATTTAGTTGTGTAAGTTAGGTCTGATGTTTGGTTGTGTAATGTGGGATCTGATATTTAGTGTAAAGTGTGGTTTTGTATTTAATAGTGTAAAGTGAGGTCTGACATTTACTTGTGTAAAGTGACATCTGATTTTTAATTGTGTAAATTATGTCTGATATTTGGTTGTGTAAAGTGGGGTCTGATATTCAGTGTAAAGTGGGGTGTTTATTGTTTAGTTGTGTAAAGTGAGGTCTGACATTTAGTTGTCTAAAGTGGGGTCTGATATTTAATTGCATAAAATAGGGTGTTTTATTTGGTTATGTAAAGTGGGGTCTTGTATTTAGTTGTGTAAAGTGAGGTCTGATGTTTAGTTGTCTAACCAGGGGTATTTAATGTAGTTGTGTGCAGTATTTATTTGTTTAAAGTGTTTTTTTTTTTAAATGGTGTCAACTGGTTTCTTGTATTTAGTTGTTTAAAGTGGGATTTTGTATTTATTTGTGTTAAGTTGAAATCCTATATTCACTTGTGTAAAGTCTGGTGGTATATTAACGCTTTTGCCAAAAAAGCTGGAAAATAGACTATTCCGGTTGGGCCCATGAATCACCCGACACACATGTTTTTTAAGGCTGTGTGGGGTATATTTAATTTACTGCTTCACTCCCTTTGTGTTTATTGATTTCTCCTTTCATATATCTTTATATGTTTTTAAAAAAAGTAATTTTAAAATGTCAATGAATATGTTTTAAACTTATTTATTCATGACCCGTATAACAATTTTTGTTTATTTTATGGATTTATGTCATGAATCCTAGTGGGGTCATAACCTTTTTTTAAAGAGTTCTGGGGTGAAAAGATTAAATTGTAATTGTAATAAAATTAAATACAATCTGGTATGCAGTTATATACAGTGGTATGTAATGTGAATTACAATTTTGTGACCTAAATACAGTGGTATGTAATGTGAAATACAATTTTGTGGGCTATATACAGTGGTATGTAATGTGAATTACAATTTTGTGAGCTATATACTGTGGTATGTAATGTGAATTACAATTTTGTGAGCTATATACAGTGGTATGTAATGTGAATTACAATGTTTATATAATATCAGTAATCGTTGATGTAATATAAGTAATTTGTTTTAATTATGGCCGTTGTGGCGTAAACAATGACATTGGTGACAATGTAAGAAGCTGTGAAAGATATTTCTAGCCACATTGTATGGTTAGTGTATGTGCACATTGTCTTTTTTGCAGAGTTGGCTGTGGATTACTTCCATGACAGCGTGCCTGAGAAACTGGGCCATGTGGACATGTTCTCTGCCTCAAATGTTATCAGGTAATAAATACAGCTGTATGTCTGTTGTTGAATGTACAAAGGATCTTCTGCAGGGTGAACTGGAAACTGGGAAATAGATCTGCAGGAAGGCCAAGGCTACACTATAAGGACATATTTAAATGTGACCTGGAAGATACCAACCTGGACACTGAAAGTTGGCAAGGATAAGCTGCTGGCTGACACATATGGACGCAGACAGTAAAGGACAGACGCAGACAGTAAAGGACAGACGCAGACAGTAAAGAACAGACGCAGACAGTAAAGGCCACACGCAGACAGTAAAGGACAGACGCAGACAGTAAAGACTGTTGCTCTTTGCTAGAGGCCAGGCATGGCAGGCTATAGAGAGGAGATGTCTCAGAGTAGACAAGTTTCAGTATAGTAGAGTATCAGCATTTTTATAGGACTAAAAACTGCTACTCCCACGTTAAACCTAACAGTCACAGCAGAGGCTGTTCCAAGAACGAGCGACGCAGCTCCATGGTTGCTATGGAATGTCAGCTTCTCACTTGTTTGTACAATCTCTCAGTTTCAGCCTGGCCTAAAGGTCTTGAGTTCGAATCCGCATAGTCAGATTTATTTTGTTTTTTATAATTGGCCTTAGTTATAGTCTAAAATGGTTACTAAGTAAAGTCTGGAGAGTGAAGTTGTGTGACCTGATGTTGATCCCATCACTCACTGAGTGCTAGTTTAATTGTTTTCAACCTGTGAATCTTGCATTGTGAAAGAATATGATAGAGGACTAGTATTGCACACACCCATGGAGGGGGGGTGCTGAGTGGTCTCGAGTTATGGTGCCTGCCTCGAGTGCTGGACATCCCGGGTTCAAGCCTCGGTAACGGCTTCAATTTTTCACATGGACTTGTAGAAATGTTCCCTTGTGTTTGGATAGTAAGATTGGATGCCGGTGTGTATTCTTGCACATGTACAAAAAATCCCTTGGCAGTTCCAAAGCGTTGAGGCCCACCCCGGGCAAAAATGTGGAGTTAAAATTCTTCCCAAAGTATTTGAGGATCCTCGCCGGTGCAGTGGAGCTCAGGCACAGTGCTGAGATTCTTCAGACTCACGCTTGAGTTAGAAGTAGAACGGAGCACTTATGGGTTACACCGATGTGTAATGATGTTGATCTGTTGAAATTTTAGTTTAATATTCAGCCAGAAAGTCAATATTTGTCCATCCTCTAGCAGGGCCAGTAAGTTATGAAGTGCTGAAATTAAGAAATGGCTGACCACCCGGGCAAAAATGCAGATTTTCATCACTAAATGGCACCTAAACTACCATACTTAATAGCATATCAGTTCATTTGATGTGTTTTCCTATCCAAAGGATACATTTTCTTTTCTTCTTCTTCGCGTCCACCAGCTGTACACTCTGGTGGAAAGTTCTGGTTGCTCGTCCACTACTGAACTGCAGTCCTGCTCCAGAACCTGAGTGTTGCGTGTGCATCAGTTTTACAGATCTCATTCTCTTGAATACAGACTGTTGGTTCCTTGCCTCTCTGGCAGATGCACTCCGACTTCAAAGGAAGCTCCCCAATTAGTCGGCTCTTACGGCATGCTTCTGGGGAGGCAGTGGGTCTATTCTTGTTTTCCGCACAATGGGGCCCCGGAACCCACTCGGGGGACATTTTCTTTTAAATGTATTAAAGTAAAGTTCTGTAATGATAAATCAGTGATAAGTACAGTGCATGTACTTGTAATGATTTCCGAGATTGATTTCTAGGTGAATTTTTTTTTTTTTTTTAAGAATTGATAGCCAAAATTGAAGGCTGGGAACAAATCAAACCATTTTTAGTTCATTCCAGTGGGAAAAACTCCTTTGATATCAGTCCTATTTGATATTGATTCCCCCCTCAGGAACAGATTAGTGGCAGATATTGGAGTTCCACTGTACACACAGACTCCACATACACAGAGAAGCACGAGTGTAGTAGTGCATGTGCTTTATGCATCACATGTGAAATGCGTCCGGCACCATGTTGGACAAAAAGTCCAGTATATTTGTATTTGTAGACTTTTGCTTCCTGGTTATGAGGACCCCCTCAGTTTTGGACACAGAAAACTGCCCGTAAGCATCTGGTTGTGTTGATCACTTACCTGTAATATTTCCTTCTGGGTTATAGGGGGTGGGGGTGGTGTAGACCCATTTCCCTTAACAAGTGTCTTTGTTAAAAAGTGACAAGCGTTTGCTAAGATCAAATTTGTTATTTGAAAGTGCAGATATCACAACATAGCTGTAAACCACAACGGTGTGCCGGCAGCTCATTAGAGTGGAAACAGTTACCTGTAATCACTTGCTGATTTTGTGGAATGCATTCTATTGCAGACGTAACCACGTGTCGCCCTGTTCAGTGGTGCTTTCCATGCTCTATGCCAAGCGACTGCGACAGCAAAGGCAGCAACAGAAAGAGCTGCGTCGGACAATGTCTTCTGCCGATGTTTTCTTTATTTCCATGGTGAGTGCATTCTCCTACATACAGTGCTTATGGAAAGACATAGTGAAACAAATCAGTAGTTGCAGTGCAGAATGTAAATTACATATTTTAAAAATAAAAACGGTGATAATCAGCAAGCTTGATACTTGTTTGGCTGTTGGCAATGATTTAGTGGATATATTTTCAGTTTGCAGTGTGTGTATTTTTTTTTTTTAATGTGTGCTAATGCGTCTAGATCAACTTGTATGGCTGTTGGCAATGGTTAAAGGTATGTGTTTCTTTTGTTTCTAGATGTGTGTTTGTCTGGACTAATACTTGTGTGAGTGTGTCTGTGTAAACAATTATAAAGTCAATTTGAGTCTAGAAATTCAGGAAAGTGGGTTATCTTGTGTAAAATGAAACAAACAAACAAAGAGAAATAAAACAGAGACAAATTAAATATTTTGATTAAAAGACATCTTAGTCTTATAATAACAGTACCAGAAAATAAGTAATTTGAAAGCAGATGAGCAAGAAACAAAATCAGCGTAGGAGGATATCATAAAGAAATGGGCGAACAGCGGTCTCAGAGAGTATATGATCAGATCGAGAGACAGTTAACCCTTTTGCTGCTTTGAATGTATTTCGCTGTTTTACCGTAGACTGTTATGCGCATCTTTGGATGTTATCTGGTTTCTTGGCCCCAACTATTATGGGCATTAAAACTCGTTTTTGACTTTCCTTACTGATATCTAAGGACCATATTCTTGAGGTTCAAAGTGCAATACATATAAGCCATTTTTGGGTCAGATTGACCCATTTACATACGATTTAAACACCCTGTCACGTGCATTTATTGTATTTAGATGCGTTCTGTGTTATCCTGGTGCTTTGTTAGGATAGAAGCATGGTCGGTGAACTGTTTAATTTTGTTGGTGAAATATATTTCTGGTTTTACTACATTTCATTTGGCAAGAAAAATGGTTACAGTTGATGAAGAATTAATGGTGTTTCTTTCAAAGAGTAATTAATAGTAGGGATCACTTTCAAATCTGTGAAAAGTTGGATAATCTTCATCTTCATAACTACTGGCCTTGAGCAAGACCATCTGACCCGGCTAACAACATCGACTGGATTTGAATTGGATCCCCAGTGATCAATGAGAGGATATGGCCACTTACAGACATGATAATTACATTTAATTATCTTCTATACCATACAACAGACAGTGCATGTGGCTGTCTCTAACATTGTACAATACTGGTGTTATTTTCCATTGTTGTTATCAAGTGATATTCTAGTGTAGTTAGTAACACATCCACCGAACAATCGGAAGGTCTTGAGTTCAACCGCCCTGGAGAATAAAATTGGTCTTGCACTATCCTCTTGTAATGAATAGTTTAAAACATTCAAAGAATATTCCTGTTGACAAGGGGAAGGCTACTGTTGTGCTCACTGCTCCATGGAGTTTCTACTTCGTATATGGTCGCAGTGGAGACGACAACTTAGCAGAGGATACGTTTTCTTTCACTACAACAAATCCGCCACTGCTGTTTAAGAAAAAAATCTAGTGGATATTTTCTGTAAGGGTAAGGTTTTTAGCATCGCCATAGTGCGTCTGACCTGTCAACACTCGAGTTGACCACACATCTCCATAGGGTGAATATTTTTAGGTGTACAAAATATAGCTGTCACCACTGATGCATCTTTTGTGTTTTGTGGGTAGAAAATATTCAGCAAAGGAGAGATAATACAATGGTGACTTTGGCTGCCGAGTACGTAACAGCGAAACGGTTAATTTTGTAGATCTGTTGCACCAGCCTTCATCATGGAAATGCTATTGATTGATCGGTTTATTGCTTGATTGATTTCTGTAAACATCTGTGTTGTCAAACTAGAGCCACTTGTATGACCGGCCAATGATTGAATGAATATATTTCCTGTTCTCAGATGATGGCTAGCAAATACATGTATGATGAGGGAGTCGATGAGGAAGTCTTCAATGATGAGTGGGCAGACAACACAGACCAGGATGTCGATGAAGTCAATGAAATGGAAGCAGATTTTCTTCAGGCCATGGTCTGATTTCTTTTTATATTACCTGATATTGTTTTGTATTACCTGATATTGTTTTATCTTACATTACACTGTTTTGTATTACGTAACGCTGTTTCATATTACAAAATCTAGTTTTCAGATGCTGTTTTAAATTACCTGATATTATTTTAATTTATCTCTTGTTGTTTTATATTATCTGTTACTGTTTATATTGCCTCATACTGAATTAACCGGGAAGGCTAACCCGGTCAACAAATGCCCGCAGAAGTTGGATGTGTTGGCCGAAAGGTGCAAATATCGCAGCCATGCTGTAAATGGATACAACGCAATTACATCTTCGGATGAACGCAGAAAAAGAAGAAGAATTATATTAATTTGATATTTTTTATAACCGTATATAGTTTTATATTACCTGATACTGTTTATATTAGCCAATAGTGTTTTATATTACCTAATGTTTATATTACCTGATACTGTTTATATTAGCCGATAGTGTTTTATATTACCTAATGTTTATATTACCTGGTATTGATTTGCATTAACTAATTTTAATAATGCTGGTCAGTCTAGATTTATTTTAGTGATGTAATGTGTGTTTTTTTACCTGATACTGTTTAAATTACCCAGTATTGTTTTTGTACTGTATTATGTTGTTTAAACTACCTGCTATTATTTTGTTCCACATAATGTTGTTTAAACTACCTGATATTATTTTGCACTACATAATGCTGTTTAAAACTACCTTATTTTGTTTTATACTTTCTACATTACCTTATATAGACCATCTAGCATCATCACATAGATTTCCTGAAGACTTTACATTTTATATTATAGGTGTTTTATGAAGCAAAGATGTTTCGTTATGGTGTTAGTCTTCCCCTGCTCTCTCATTATCAATTCATTCCTGGTCTGTCCCTGCTCACTGTGGCGGTGTTTTCCTCTAACTGCAGAAGATGCCATTTATTGTTCTGTGTTTGTTTCCTTGTATTTATAGCACTGCCACTTTCTTCCACTACAGGACTGGAAACTGTTTGTTCAACCGCGGGAATTTGAGGACACACTGGCTGCCATAGAGAGAAGGTAATTTTAACATTTTAATACTGACTGCTGCATATCAGTCATCATGTGTCAGTTCTGGCATTTTATTTAATTGTCACATCATCATTTCATTTTGCCTCATGATCATCGTTTCCCACGATAATGATGAAAATAAACTGGCAGGCAGATTGGCTGGTGCTGCAACTGTGAGTGATGAATTGGTGCAAGACAAGACATATGAACAGAGGCCCCTTCTGAGTAAGGGACCAACGCAGAAGAGTGAATAGATCATTACAGCCTTGAGAGAATGGTGTCGCCCTTTGAGGTGATGCCGCCTTGGAAGTATGACCAATGTGTATTTGGGAGTAGTAGACGAACTGTAGTTCTGCAATCACCACTTAATGTTAGTTGCATCCAATAAAGAGACTGATGCACTGTTATAGAGATGACTTTTAATGTATTGTTCTTGACACTGTTATTAGAGAGGTGCTGGTACCATTTAGACTAGGTGTAACTGTTGTCAGTGCGCTGTCCGGTAGGGAACCCATTTAGTGGTCGGATAGTCAACTTGGAAACTTTTGTATGTATGGGTGAAACATGATCATCACTCTAGATACTTTGCCAGATATGTGACACATTCACCCAGTGTCACATATAACAGTCATGCAGGTGTGATACACCCCATTATTGTTCTCTCCAAACTATCATGCTGGCTGACCCCTACATTCTCGCCCTGGGAATAAATGCTCTTTTTTTAAATCTCAGATATGGCATGATGTATGAAATCCTCTCCTCAGCTTAATGTTCTATCTTACTCTGTTTTGGTCGTAGCACACTCAAGAAATCTGGCTTGTCTCCATTGTCACTAATGCTGTTATGTTACTATTTAGAAAGTAATATGTTTATAAATTTTAATAACAGACTTTTCTTCATTAGCATTTCCTATTAAACTTTCTTCTGGTGCTGAAAGAGTTATCATAGTCAAAATGTTTCTGTGTTCATGAGACGACACTGTCGGTGAGCCAGCCAACACCTCAACCTTATAACATTTTTTACTACTGTATAAGTATTTGATTTTATGGGAAAAAAATGATTCTGTCTTTAAACTATTACAGCAACAACAAAAACCACACCCCACCCCATGTTCAGATCTCAAAATGTTACTTCTCTATCTTGTATTTTTCCTCCTTTCCCCTGATATAAGAATCAGCCTGTGGCACTGAAGTTCAAAAGCATTATTTTTCTGTTTGTTGATTGTAAAATAGGCCATGGCTTCCTTCCTTATGTTGCTTGTTGTCAAGATGTTTTCACTAGAGGTTGTTTGCTGGTGTTGAGCCACAGGCTGTTTATACTAGGGCTGTACCAAATAGTGATTTTCACTATTCGGCCGAATACGAATAGTGGGACCAACTATTCAGCCGAATAAGAATAGTATATCATCATCATCGGGTGCCTTGCCGACTGGCGTGGGCTATCATGCCTCTCCACAATCTGCTATCTCTTGCAGCAAGTATCAGTTCGTGTGCTGACACACCTGCATGCCATGCAACAAGACTGTCAAGAATCTTCTATCGTTGTCTTCCTCTATCCCTTCTTCCACAGATCTTTCTCTCTCTCTCTCTCTCACTCACACACACTCACACACACACACACTCACTCTCTCTCTCACACTCTCCCTCTCCCGCTCCCTCTCCCACTCTCTCTCTCTCTCCATCTCCCTCCCTCTCTCTCTCTCTCTCTCTCTGCGGTTGGCATTTTATGCAGTTTCAACCACGAAATCGGGTCGCAGTTTCCCCCGCTACGACAGACTTAGGCAACAGCAACTATTGAGTTAATGAGACAGTTATTTCAGTCCATCACAGTGTATTCAGAATCGGGAGTAAGGTAACCACTATTCGTATTCGGTCCGACCTCAACTATTCGGTTGAATATCGAATAGTTATTAGGTCCACTATTCGGCCACGAAACGAATACGAAGCGAATATTTGGTACAGCCCTAGTTTATACTACTGAACACCTGCATCCCCATGTGGATTCTGGGGCTCTATTGTAGAAAGGGGGGTATAGAGTAGACCTACCGCCCCCTTCAAGCATGTGGTAAAGAGTAGACTAAATAGGATGTTTCCTTCAGAGCTGGAGTGCTTCAGCCTGAGAGGTGAGGAACCAACAGTGTCATATCTGTAAAACAGCTGTGCATGCCAGACTCATGTTCTGAAACTAAAGCTGGCGAATAACCAGAACTTTCCACCGAAGTTGACAGCCACCAAACACACAGAAGAACGCCTGCATTATTTGAGAGGCTTATCCTGAGTAACTGATATTGTTTTTGTTGTTGTCTTCTTTAAGTGCCATGCAGATGCATTCAGTAAATGTTCATGTGTTATGCTGATGCTTATGAAAATGTTCACTTGTTGTGCTGATATCCTCATCATCGTCATCCCCAGGCTTGCTCTTCAAGAGGGCTGCAAGAGAGGCTGGTTCACTTACACCGAATTGGATGTGTTGATGAGTTCGGATCTCCTGTGGGCTTTGTGGGAGAATATTGGATCTGAGTGCTCAAAGGTAAACTGAAAACATTTCTCCCATCCAGCTTTAATATATTCATACAGATGGTGCGACACTACAGAGCTCAGGTGATTAGATCAGATCAGCAAACCTAAGATATTGAATTAGCAAACCTCAGGTCTTTTTAGATCAACAAATCTCAGATATTATTAGATCAGCAAATCTCAGGTTTTATTAGGTCAACAAATCTCAGGTTTTATAAATCAGCAAATCGTCAGGCATTATTAGATCAGCAAACCTCAGGTATTTTTATATCAGTAAACCTCAGGTATTTTTATATTAATAAACCTCAGATATTATTAGATCAGCAAACCTCAGGTATTATTAGATCAGCAAACCTCAGGTATTTTTATATTAATAAACCTCAGATATTATTAGATCAGCAAACCTCAGGTATTATTAGATCAGCAAACCTCAGGCATTATTAGATCAGCAAACCTCAGGTATTTTTATATCAGTAAACCTCAGGTATTATTAGATCAGCAAATCTCAGGTGCTATTAGATAGAGAGTTAACATCGTAGTACATTGTAAGGTCATCATATTTACACTGGAGGTGAAATGTGTGTATGTTAGGTTAGGTGGGGGGGGGGGGGGGGGGGGGGGGGGGGGGGGTTAGTTATTGTTGTGTACTGTACTTCTTTTTTTTTTGGGGGGGGGGGGGGGATCTTAATGGCAAAGTAGCTTGGCCATTAGCATCCTGCTGTGAAGCTGTATTGGTTTATTGTTTGACTCACAGGTGCAGTTTATTTTTTTTTTTTAATTTCCTGGTGTTTTCGCTGCAGCTACGTAGTTTGCGGTGCAGCATTCCCATCAGGGAGAGATCAAGCCAAACAGGGTGGCCCAGGGGCAGTAAAGTCAATCTGTTTGACTATAAATATGTTCTCATGCACATTAATAGGTAATAATGTAAACAGTTTTCTGATATGCCCACATTCTCATTATTCTACAGTTACTGACTGCCATCTCTGCTGCTTATGTGACCAGTGTACTCAGCATGTTAGGATCTACAGCTCTAGCGATTCACATTTCAGGACAGTTGTCTTCCATCACTTTGGCCGTCTTCACACTACATTCTTCAGCATTAACATCCACAGTCTACCCACAACTGGCGAATGTCTCACATGTGATGTGGATGTCTCCATCTGTCAGTCCTCCAGAGGATAACCATGCACTAGCAAACAGATCCCTGAGCTGGGATGTTAATGAGCACACGGAGGAGGATAGTGACTTAGATTCTCTTTACAAAGATGATCCCGAAGTAGATGATCCTGGAAATGGCTCAGGAGAACCTCAAGATGATATGTATAGACAACATGGTTCACCTGCATCTGCCAGGTCTTCTTTGTGGATTCTGCTGTCACAGGTATGGGCTGCTATCTGCATCAGGATCAAACATACCTACTACATGGAGACACCTGGTGATGGTAGTCATGATGTGGATGCAGGATTCACTCATGTGCAGATTCTTCAGCAGATGAATGACAAGCAAGAACATTTTAATCAGGCCAGCAAAAGAAGAACTCGATTGCCCAGTACTGCATCCCATAAGGCTGACACAGACATCAAGCTTCTGGTGACTCCACCAGCATTGGCCTCAGGACATAGCCCATCACACTGCTGTGTATGCTCCTGTGACTGCACCCAGGTGACCTCAGCTCCAGTTGACCGCAGTGCCCAGGACCGACTTCAGTGTCAGTTTGTTGATGGGCCAGATTGTCCTCACAGGCTAGACTCAAGTGTATTTCAGGTCACTGGCCAGGGTGAGGATCATTGTAGCTGCCATGGTTGCACAAGAGCTAAGGCTGACAACAGGAGACACACTAGCCAATCGCTGTGTTTACAAGCACTGACGGATGCTTCTGCTGACTGCCAGTTTCAAGCAGAGCATCAAAGCAGTCTGTTGGCAGTTCCTGTAGGGTTTATCACAAGTGTCTACCAGTCTCTGATGGTCACCTGATTGCCTGCTGACCTATCTGAAAGTGTGGTGTCCGTTATACATGTTAGGCTGGTGGTTTAAAGGTGCATCTGCTAGGAACTTTGTTTACAGCACCAGGCAATATGAAGAAATGTAGTATGATTATGGGAAACACCATTCACTCACTGCAAGAATATGGGAAACACCATTCACTCACTGCAAGAACATAGCAAACACCATTCACTCATTGCAAGAACATGGCAAACACCATTCACTCACTGCAATAATATGGCAAACACCATTCACTCACTGCAATAATATGGCAAACACCATTCACTCAATGCAATAATATGGCAAACACCATTCACTCAATGCAATAGTATGGCAAACACCATTCACTCACTGCAATAATATGGCAAACACCATTCACTCACTGCAATAATATGGCAAACACCATTCACTCACTGCAAGAACATGGCAAACACCATTCACTCACTGCAATAAAATGGCAAACACCATTCACTCACTGCAATAATGTGGCAAACACCATTCACTCACTGCAAGAACATGGCAAACACCATTCACTCACTGCAAGAACATGGCAAACACCATTCACTCACTGCAAGAACAGAAAAACCATTTATAAAGTGTAGAACAAAGCTTTGAGAACATCATTCATCATAAACTCAGTACATGATCATGAGAAATACCACATGCAATCAATAACATACAGTATGAACATGGGAAACCCCATTCATAAAATCAACGTACACGGCATGCATATGGGAAACACCGTTCTTGAAATCACCAGCAAACACAGCATGAACATGGGAAACACCATTCATGAAATCACCAACAGACACAGCAATAACAAGAAACATAATTCAGCGTAGGCCTGGATTCACAGAGTGAAAGTTTATAAAAATGTAAACCTAATCAAGTATATAATCTGCAGCCTGGATTCACAAACCGAAGTTAATGAAAATGTAAACCAAATAAAAAATGTTTTCATTCACAAAATGTTCATAAAAAATGTAAACTGAATCAAATATGTTATCTACAGCCTGAATTCACAAAGTGAAATATGTATGAAAATGTAGAAACAAATAAAATATGTAGTGTACACTTTTCCTGGAGTCAGTGTTTTATTGTTGGTAATCAAGGACTGCATCAGTGGTAACAGAGTGACCAGTACCCGTGGTATTCTATAGACAAGTTGTTGACATAAATGTCCTGTAACAGGAGAGTGACCCGTAGTTGAGAATAGTGTACTGGAACAGAAGAGTGACCGGTCTCCAAGGCCCATATACTGGAACAGGAAAGGGACTGGTAGATGAGTAGTGTCCTGTAACAGGAGAGTGACCAGTAGGTGAGCACAGTGTCCTGTAACAGGAGAGTGACCAGTAGGTGAGCACAGTGTCCTGTAACAGGAGAGTGACCAGTAGGTGAGCGCAGTGTCCTGTAACAGGAGAGTGACCGGTAGGTGAGCGCAGTGTCCTGTAACAGGAGAGTGACCGGTAGGTGAGCACAGTGTCCTGTAACAGGAGAGTGACCGGTAGGTGAGCACAGTGTCCTGTAACAGGAGAGTGACCGGTAGGTGAGCGCAGTGTCCTGTAACAGGAGAGTGACCGGTAGGTGAGCACAGTGTCCTGTAACAGGAGAGTGACCAGTAGGTGAGCGCAGTGTCCTGTAACAGGAGAGTGACCGGTAGGTGAGCACAGTGTCCTGTAACAGGAGAGTGACCAGTAGGTGAGCACAGTGTCCTGTAACAGGAGAGTGACAAGTAGGTGAGCACAGTGTCCTGTAACAGGAGAGTGACCAGTAGGTGAGCACAGTGCCCTGTAACAGGAGAGTGACCAGTAGGTGAGCACAGAGTCCTGTAACAGGAGAGTGACCAGTAGGTGAGCGCAGTGTCCTGTAACAGGAGAGTGACCAGTAGGTGAGCACAGTGTCCTGTAACAGGAGAGTGACCAGTAGGTGAGCACAGTGCCCTGTAACAGGAGAGTGACCAGTAGGTGAGCACAGTGTCCTGTAACAGGAGAGTGACCAGTAGGTGAGCGCAGTGCCCTGTAACAGGAGAGTGACCAGTAGGTGAGCACAGAGTCCTGTAACAGGAGAGTGACCAGTAGGTGAGCACAGTGTCCTGTAACAGGAGAGTGACCAGTAGGTGAGCGCAGTGTCCTGTAACAGGAGAGTGACCAATAGGTGAGCGCAGTGTCCTGTAACAGGAGAGTGACCAGTAGGTGAGCGCAGTGTCCTGTAACAGGAGAGTGACCGGTAGGTGAGCGCAGTGTCCTGTAACAGGAGAGTGACCGGTAGGTGAGCGCAGTGTCCTGTAACAGGAGAGTGACCAGTAGGTGAGCACAGTGTCCTGTAACAGGAGAGTGACCAGTAGGTGAGCGCAGTGTCCTGTAACAGGAGAGTGACCAGTAGGTGAGCGCAGTGTCCTGTAACAGGAGAGTGACCAGTAGGTGAGCGCAGTGTCCTGTAACAGGAGAGTGACCAGTAGGTGAGCGCAGTGTCCTGTAACAGGAGAGTGACCAGTAGGTGAGCGCAGTGTCCTGTAACAGGAGAGTGACCAGTAGGTGAGCACAGTGTCCTGTAACAGGAGAGTGACCAGTAGGTGAGCGCAGTGTCCTGTAACAGGAGAGTGACCAGTAGGTGAGCACAGTGTCCTGTAACAGGAGAGTGACCAGTAGGTGAGCGCAGTGTCCTGTAACAGGAGAGTGACCAGTAGGTGAGCACAGTGTCCTGTAACAGGAGAGTGACCAGTAGGTGAGCGCAGTGTCCTGTAACAGGAGAGTGACCGGTAGGTGAGCACAGTGCCCTGTAACAGGAGAGGCCCATATACTGGAACAGAAAAGGGACTGGTAGATGAGCAGGAGTGACCAATGGCATAGATACTAGAACCGGAGAGTGACTGGTAGGTGAGCACGGTGTCCTGTAACAGGAGAGTGACCAGTCTCCAAGGCCCATTTACTGGAACAGGAAATGGACTGGAAGGTGAGCAGTGTCCTGTAACTGGAGAGTGACTAATACCCAAGGCATATATATATACTAGAACAGGAGAGTGACCAAGGCCCTTATAATGTAACAGGAACGTGACCAGTATCTGAGAACAATGTCCTGTAACAGGACTGACCAGTACCTGAGAAAAATGTCCTGTAACAGGACATTGACCAGTTCCTGAGAGCAATATACTGTAACAAGAGAGTGACCAGTACCTGAGAGAACTGTCCTGTAATGGGACTGACCAGTACCTGGGAACAATGTCCTGTAATAGGACAGTGACTAGTACCAGAGAGCATTGTCCTGTAACAGGACATGACCAGTACTTAAGAGCAATATACTGTAATGGGACTGACCAGTACCTGAGAGCAATGTCCTGTAACAGGACAATGACCAGTACCAGAGAGCACTGTCCTGTAACAGGACAGTGACCAGTACCTGGAAACAATATCCTGTGCCACACCACAAGATGCTGGTTCAGTCAGCGTCGTGTACCAGATGTCTGTTGTCCAGCTGCATCTTGTGAAGACTGTCTTTCTTCCAGCAGTGCTCACTGACCTTTGAACTGACCAATGTTTTGGAGGAGTTGGTGAAGCCGGCAGTGTCTGGGACCGATCTCGTGTATGTCTTCGGCCATTCTCTGTTAGAGCCTGTGGGTAACAGTGACAATCGAGGGGTGAATCTCAGTCATGATTGTCAATATAAACAGTTGATTAACTATGAAAATCGTGATTTACTCACATATTTTAAACAACCGTTTCTGTGAAATAGTGGTTTGCATGTTGTTTTGTGGTTTATAGCTAGGCTGTGATATCTGCACCTTTTTTCGGCCCACCCACCATATCTGATTTCAGCAAAGCCCTAATTAGTCACCTAGGATGGGGGCTTGTTAGGGGGCAGTGGATCTACCCCCCTCCCCCTCCAATTGGGTCCTGGAATCCACACAGGGATGTAAACAGATCATAAGCCAGATGATCTTGGCTGACTTACACATGCATAAATCAAACTACGTAATTAACTCACATGTTAAATCATTTTCAGTCTGTATTGACTCCTATGTGCTCAACTGATAAATCAGACAGTCACTAATGACCTTATTGTGTAATCAGGTGATAAAACACAGTTGTGATTGACTCACAAGTATATCAACTGATAAATGAATAAACCATGATTGACTTACACATGTGTAATCAACTGAGAAAATCAAATTTGATTTACATATTTTTGATCAAATGACAAATCAATCAAAGTTTTCTGTCATGTGTGTATACAGCTGGTGAATCAATGGTAATTTATATGTTTGATCAAATGACAAATCCGACAGCTGTGGTTGGCTGACGTGTGTGCACCCACTCGATAAATCAAACATGGTTTACTGCCAAGATGATTTTATGGTCAGCTCTAAAACCAACACTATACAGATTGAAACACTTACCACTAAAAAGGAGTTCCTGAAGCTCTACCTGTGGATGGTCACTTTTGGACACTGGTCCATAAAGAGGGGATCTCAGCCCAGCAACCTGGAGGTCGCTGTTGAAGCTAGCGCCACCTGGCCGCGGACAGTGATTTCGTCGAGACAGATTATTAGCACAGCAAGGCTTCTGTCCCATACAGCCACCGCAACATGCGTGGCGTACTAGGTTACCACTGTAAGAATGACACATTTATTACCACTGTAAGAGTAAAACATTTATTACCACTCTAAGAATGACACATTTATTACCACTGTAAGAGAGTAAAACATTTATTACCACTGTAAGAGTGACAAATTTATTACTACTCTAAGAATGACATATTTATTACCACTGTAAGAGTAAACATTTATTACCACTGTAAGAGTAAACATTTATTACCACTGTAAGAGTGACACATTTATTACCACTGTAAGAGTGAAAAATTTATTACCACTAAGAGTGAAACATTTTTTACCACTGTAAGAGTGACAAATTTATTACCACTGTAAGAGTGACACATTTATTACCACTGTAAGAGTGACAAATGTATTACCACTGTAAGAGTGAAACATTTTTTACCACTGTAAGAGTGACAAATTTATTACCACTGTAAGAGGTACACATTTATTACCACTGTAAGAGTGACACATTTATTACCACTGTAAGAGTGACACATTTATTACCACTGTAAGAGTGACACATTTATTACCACTGTAAGAGTGACAAATTTATTACCACTCTAAGAATGACAAATTTATTACCACTGTAAGAGTGACACATTTATTACCACTGTAAGAGTGACAAATTTATTACCACTGTAAGAGTGACACATTTATTACCACTGTAAGAGTGACACATTTATTACCACTGTAAGAGTGACAAATTTATTACCACTCTAAGAATGACACATTTATTACCACTGTAAGAGTAAACATTTATTACCACTGTAAGAGTGAAACATTTATTAACACTGTAAGAGTAAACATTTATTAACACTGTAAGAGTGAAACATTTATTACCACTGAAAGAGTGAAACATTTATTACCACTGTAAGGGTGAAACATTTATTACCACTTTAAGAGTGAAACATTTATTACCACTGTAAGAGTGAAACATTTATTACCACTGTAAGAGTGAAACATTTATTACCACTGTAAGAGTGAAACATTTATTACCACTGTAAGAGTGAAACATTTATTACCACTGTAAGAGTGAAACATTTATTACCACTGTAAGAGTAAAACATTTATTACCACTGTAAGAGTGAAACATTTATTAACACTGTAAGAGTGAAACATTTATTACCACTGTAAGAGTGACACATTTATTAACACTGTAAGAGTGAAACATTTATTACCACTCTAAGAATGACATATATATTTACCCTGTAAAAGTGACACATACATTACCACTGTATGAATGACACATAAATTACCACTGTCTTCTTCTTTGCGTTCACCAGCTGTAAACTCCAGTGTAAACTTATGGTTGCTTGTCCATTTCTGGACTTTGGTCTTAAGGTCTTGAGTTTTGGGTACACATTCTTCTCCTTTGTGTTGACTAACTGTTAACTCTGGCAGAAAGTTCTGGTTGTTCATCCACTTCCTGACTCTAGTCCTGTTCCAGAACCTGAATGTTGCATGTACATCTGTTTTACAGGTGTGACTCATTTGTATGCCAACTGTTGGTTTCTTGCCTCTCAGGCAGATGCACCCCACTTCAAAGGAAGCTGTCCTAATCAGTCACCTTGTATGACATGCTTGTTAGAAAGACAGTGGGTCAGTTTTTTGTTTTTGTTCCCGCCTAAAATAGGACCACAGAACTCACTTGAGGAATTACATACTGTAAGAGTGGCAAGTTAATTACCTAATTATTATAAATATTCACATACTTAGTATCTATAAGTTTGTGATAATCGTGCATACATAGTGTTTGTATGGCCTTAATCAAAAATTTAGTCAGTGTATGTTCATTTATAAGACATTTTTTGTTAACTGATATTTACACAATATTTGCTGATAATCACATAGTGTTTGTATGGTCTTAATCAAAAATTTAGTCTGTGTATGTTCATTTATAAGACATTTTTTTTAACTGATATTTACACAATATTTGCTGATAATCACATAGTTAGCATTTGTGTTTGTTGTTATTCATGACAATGTGATTGTTGATAATCACATTGTGTTTGTGATAATCACATAGTGTTTGTATGGTGTTAATCAAAAATTTTGTCTGTGTATGTTAATTTATTATACATTTTTTTGTTGAAAATCACACAGTTAGTGTTTTTATGTGTAATGAAAATCATAGTGGTTTTTTTTAATGTGTTATGAAAATCGTATAGTTAGCATGGCATTTTTGTTAAAAATCATGCATTCTCTAACCATGTGTATTAATAATTACATAATCAGGGCCGGAAACGTTACCTGAATGCCAAGTAGATCCAGGGGTTACAACAACTGTTTAGACTGCCAAGCAAAATCATGACTACCACGGCCTCATCTGAAATATGAGATAACATCAATAGTAAAGATGACATAACACTTACATAAATATGAGATCATGTTGGTGTTAATTTGACATAATAGTCACACCATGTCGCAGACAGGAACAGTATTGACTTACTTATACAAATTTGAGGCAATATTAACATAGTAATATAAATATGAGATAATATTAACAGTTTTTACAAAAACATGACATACCGATGACATATTGACACAAATATGAGCCAGTGTTTACATATACATATATATACACACACAAGACTATTGACATAAATATGAAAAACTATTGACACACTGGCATAAAAATGAGCTGAAACCTGCACACTAACATAAATATCAGACTGATGGCACAGTGACTTATATCTTCATCTTCTTCTGCTTCTTCCTCGTCTTTTTGTTCTTCTGAAGTTGTAAATGCATTGTGCCCGTTAACAACATGGCTGCATCATTTTCGTTTTTGGGGCGACACGTCTGGCTCCTGCAAGCAATTTTTGCCTAGGTTAGCCTTCCTTGGTGCTTATAATAACATCATGATGTAAATATGAGTTGATATTATTACAAATAATACAAATATGACATATAAATATAAGACCATATTGACGTAAATATGATATAATATAGACAGGAATATGGGGATAAATATCAGGCAATACTGACACAAAGACTGACTGACTGACTTTCTACCCCACCAGAATATCACACAAGCGATAAACACCCGATGACACAAAGTGCCACCATGTGGATGAGGATCGCCGTGGAGAGGTCCCAGAAACCGCGTTCAGGCAATTGGCCATATTTATGGCCTGCCTATATTGCGGCCCCTGGCAAAAGCCAGGGTGGGGCTTCAGAAAACAAAAAAATTACATCCTGAAAAGGACGTAAGGATTTACTTTTACTGACACAAAGATAATACAGTGTTGGCACACTGTCTTAAATATGAGCTAAATTATAAACACTAATGTAGGTATGAGACATAGTGACACAATAGCATACATATGAGACATAATGTCACAAAAACATAGATATGAGACCTACGGTCACAAAAGCATAAGTATGAGACAGTCTTGACATACTGACTGACATAACTATCTGTACTGCCTATAGTGACCACTTTTAGGGACGGTACCAGAAGAGGGCAGAGGTTGTCGGCCTTGAGAATTCAGACCGCCTGGCTTATGCAGTCACCACGAACTGTGTACAGACAGGCTAATGAATTTTATTGTTTTCTTTTTTTTTGTTTTGTTCACCGGCTGTACACTTGCAGAATATTCTGGGTGTTCATTCATCTCCAGACTCCAGCTTTCTTCCAGAACCCGAGTGCTGCCTGCAGATCCGCTTTACAGATCTGGCTAATATGTATGTTAATTGTTGGTTCCCTGTTTCTCAGGCAATGCACTCCGATCTCGAAAGACGCTCCTAGTTAGTTGACTCTTACGACATGCTTTTTGGGGAGACATTAAGTTTACCATTAGGGCCTCGGAAAAAAAATCTACGCGTTTACTGTAAATCGAACTAAGATTTTTCACATCTGAGGACAGTGTTTTAACCACCCGACCATCCGGTTCCCTTACATAACACAACATTATTGACGTTGTCCACACACTTTTTCTGCCTTTCTTTTTCAGGACGTTGCAGAACCAACTTTTAAAATGGTCACACATTAGGCACGCAGGCCCGTCTTACATTTGGCCCTGACAAACACTCATCCTCCACACGTCTGTTGTTTTTTGTTTTTAAAGCATTGTAGCCCACATAACAATGAATTGAATATCAAGTAAATTACACATAAGTGCGAATGGTAAATACATACATTCAAATATACCAGATACGCACATACATACATACATACATACATACATACATACATACATACATACATACATACATACATACATACATACATACATACATACATACATACATACATACATACATACATACATACATACATACATACATACATGCATACATGCATACATATATACATGCATACATGCATACATATATACATACATACATACATTATGCATACATACATACATACATACATACATACATACATACATACATACATACATACATACATACATACATACATACATACATACATACATACACACATACACACTTAAGCACGCGTACACACATACATATATGCAAGCAGAACACATCACACACATATACACACTTATACGCACACACATCACATACATATATGATTACATTAAAATATACATACATACTACGGCCGTATCTACTACAGGAAGCTCTGATGCATACATTCACGCAGTCATACACATACATTCACACAAACTCACACATTTATAAATACACATAAACAGCATCTTTATACAAATACTGTTGGCTGGTCAGTTAGTTCGTTAGTCTCACGACTTAGTTTTAGTTCAGTTAGTTAGTTGGTTAGCTGTCTCACGACTTAGTTCGTCAGTTAGTTCGTTAGCTGTCTCAGTACTTAGTTTTAGTTCAGTTAGTTCGTTAGCTGTCTCAGTACTTAGTTTTAGTTCAGGTAATTCGTTAGCTGTCTCACCACTTAGTTTTAGTTCAGTTCGTTCGTTAGCTGTCTCACTACTTAGTTTTAGTTCAGTTAGTTCGTGTGTTAGCTGTCTCACTACTTAGTTTCAGTTCAGTTAGTTAGTTCATTAGCTGTCTCACTGCTTAGTTTTAGTTCAGTTAGTTCGTTAGCTGTCTCACTACTTAGTTTTAGTTCAGTTAGTTTGTTAGCTGTCTTACTACTCAGTTTTAGTTCAGTTAGTTCGTTCGTTAGCTGTCTCACTACTTAGTTTCAGTTCTGTTAGTTCGTTAGCTGTCTCACTACTTAGTTTTAGTTTAGTTCGTTCGTTAGCTGTCTCACTACTTAGTTTTAGTTCAGTTAGTTCGTTCGTTAGCTGTCTCACTACTTAGTTTTAGTTCAGTTACTTAGTTCGTTAGCTGTCTCACTGCTTAGTTTTAGTTCTGTTGGTTAATCAAATTTAAGTACCACATCAGTCCGAACACCCCATAACTGTTCCGTTTCCGTGCCTTGGGGAAACCATACAAAATGTTATTTACTGTCCCATATAAATGAAAATTAGTAAAAAAAAAAAACTTGCCATTTCTAGCAACATTTTGAAGGTTTTACACGCAAAGTAAAAACGCATAAGGCAGTCGTCAGATGTGCCAACATTACCATCCCCACACCACAATTACAGCTCATTGTTGGCGCAAACAGATAGTTACAAAAGCTGGCATTGCAATCGCAAAAGTACATCTAATTTAAACGTAATCGGTCACCCGCCATTTTAATACAGTCAACAACACGCCGCGGATGCAACCGGGGAAAAAAATCATTGAACATGAAATCCGCAGCTCACAATGTCGAACCAAGCACTCATCACGGTAGCTGGGCGACGGAACTTTTAGACTCTCAGTCCAAAAGTAGGGAATATGTTTCAGCAAAACTAGTTGGAAAAAAAAATGTTCAGAGCGTCAGCATTTTCTGTGGGCCACCGTTTGTTGGTTGTTTCGTTTGCCTAAGCCGCAGACACCGATATTGGTCACAGGAAACTTTTTTTTTTTAACTTACTGCCATTTAAAAAAAAAAATTGCTATTGCCATTGATTTAGAGTGGCATGGCAAGTGTTGTCGTCATGGACTGCTCAGGTTAGAAGTTTGAATTTTTTGCGCCAGAAACGGGTTGGGGGGGGGGGGGAGGGGCTAAAAATCTTACCGACGATTCAAGTCCTGGTGTCTCGCACAAGAACCCAGTGTTTCTAACCTCCAAACAGTCCAAACCTCTTACATCAGAATCTTTTTCGCGTTCATTTTCTGTGGAACGAAAAAAAGGGGGCGGGGGGTGTTCTCTGAGATTTCTCAGGAAGCTGAACTGCCCCTGACCCCTTCGATGTTTTTTCAAGGTTTTTTTTTTTTTACACGCCCCCCCCCCCCCCCTTTTCTTTCTCAAAAGGAATGAGCGTTGAGCTAGGGAGGGGATCTCCTGCAGTCGCTTTTCTGTCCATCCTTTTCTTAATGAGTCTTGCTGTTTGCTTTACATGTAGCCGCGCCCTGGTGTAGAGCTGCACGCCATGCATTTCGGTCTTGAGAGGCAGCCTCCCGATTGGTGTCGTTCATCCCAAATGCTTTGAGTGAAGACTTCAAGGTGTCCTTGAAGGAATATTATATTTGAACAAAAAAGACACAAACAATAGATTGCACCTTCTATTTCCTGGTATATTTCGCTGTATCTTGTCAGGTGCATTCTACAGTAACAATTACATAAATAAAGCAAAGAAGTGAATCCTTTATAATAAAACTGAAGAATAATTTCGCCAAAGATCAAAAACTGCCTGTTTTTACCAAGGCAGCCGTAAAGACAGAACCATCTCTTACTGAATACAGAGTTCCGGGTGCAGGTGACGAATCGCGGAAACTTCGAGAAATCTTAGCGTTCTGCCATTGGTTGACGTGTGAAGGATTTGAAATGCGTTGTCCTTAGTTACAACGTGTCCTGATTTTAAAATATGGAGTGCTATTGCAGAGGGGTGAACTTTGCGACCAGTATTCTCATTTTAAATATTATTTTGCATGGCTTTTTTGCACCCATACTGGAATGTGTTTAGCGACTCGTTTTTCCAGTCATCGATCAGTTCTGTCCACATAAGCAGCTTCACAGCTACATTTAAATTGGTAAATACAACAAGGTCGCATACGCTCCACCGATGGTTGACTGTGCGAGGGACTGGTTACTGGCTGTTGAGCTGCCTGGTCATAAAAAGTACCCAGAGTTAATCCGGAAGACTGGCCTACGACCCGACATAGTCCTACACTCTGCGGAGAAACGTCAGCTCATCCTGATCGAGCTGACCGTGCCATATGAGTCGCGAATGGACGAAAGCCACATGTACAAGCTCGTGAAGTACAGTGATTTATCGGCTGGTCTGAGGAGAGACGAAACGTACACAGTAAGAATCTTCGTCGTCGAGGTAGGCGCAAGAGGTC